GAAGGAAGGAAGGAAGGAAGGAGAGGATGATCAGCTGTTCCTACGATCAGCTGTGCTGGGATCCCCCTCACCATCTTACTGCTTCTCCCAGGAGGAAGGAAGGAAGGAAGAAGATGAGGAAAGAAGGAAGGAGAGGAGGAAGGAAGGAGAGGAGGAAGGAAAGGAGGAGGAAGGAAGGAAGGAAGGAAGGAAGGAAGGAAGGAAGGAAGGAAGGAGAGGACGATCAGCTGTTCCTCTGCAGTTCAACCCTGAGCTACTCATGGTCTCTACTATTGATATACTATAGTCCCTCCTCCCCTTTAACACTAATCAGGTTCCCTGGTTGGGTGCGAAACGTCTGCAAGGACGGAGCCAAACTCAGGGAGCACCCAAGACCCCAGGGTTTAACTCAGCTCCAAATCTCCTCTTCCACATAAACCAAGATGGTGTCCACAAACGGGTGATGGGAGCTCCAGCTGTTTTTATCTGAAATGCCCCCAACCGGTTGGAGCCTCCGTCCCACTTGCTGCAGTCACCATCCTGTTTTCAGCCTCTCCTGCAGACTCTCCTCTGCATTTAACAGAGGGATACAATCAAGGTCAAGGGAGGTACTAATACCCCTCTACAAAGCCTTAGTAAGGCCACACCTAGAGTCCTGCAGCTAGTTTTGGTCACCACACTATAAAAAAGATGCTGAGACTCTGGAAAAAGTGCAGAGAAGAGCAACCAGGATGATGAGGGGACTGGAGTCTAAAAAGTACGAAGAACGGTTGCAGGAACTGGGCCTGGCTAGTCTAGGGAGGAGAAGGACCAGGGGAGACAGGAGAGCATCTTCCAATATTTGAGGGGCTGCCCCAGAGAGGAGGAAGGGGGTCAAGATGTTTTCCAAAGCCCACAAAGGCCAGACAAGGAATAACGGATGGAAACTGAACAAGGAGAGATTCAATCTGGAAATAAGGAGGAACTTTCTGACAGGGAGAACAATCCACCCATGGAACAGAAGTTGCCTTCAGAGGTTGTGGGAGCTTCATCCCTGGAGGCTTCCAAGAAGAGACTGGGCTGCCATTGGTCAGAAATGGTGTAGGGTCTCTTGCCTGGGTTGGACTGGATGACCTCCAAGGTCCCTTTCAACTCGTATTAATCTGTTATTATTCTGTTATTCAGAAGTTGTGGGAGCTTCATCACTGGAGACTCTCAAGAAAGAGTTTGGACTCCCATCTGTCAGAAGCGGTGTAGGGTCTCCTGCTTGGGCAGGGGGTGGTTGGACTAGATGACCTCCAAGGTCCCTTCCCACTCTGATTAACTGTTAATTGTTTTCATTCCCCCCCCCATACACACACACACACACTCTCTCTCTCTCTCCTGCTTTCTTTCCTCCTCTCTTTTTCCAGCCGTTACATATTCTACTTCCATGCATATTCTCCTTTTGGGTTGGTTTGACAAGAGCCGCTGCCACCCCTTCTGAACAAAGGCTTAACTCCCTATTCCAAAATTAGACTTTTAATTTAAACGACGCACAGGACACCCAGATAAGGATGATAGGCGGCCAACATTTCCTGGGTCTGCTGCCCGACCAGGAGAAAACAACCTTTGCTGGTGTGATGGATGTTTGTTTAGCAGCGCCTTATTGCTAAGAATAAAAAGGGCTAACCAGGATCACGTGGCATGACGTCTGCCCTCCAGTTAGTAACATGCACACACGAAAAGAACACATTTTCCTGTTCACTTTCCCTGGGCGAGCTTTTTACGAGCGTGCAAAAAAGAAAAAAGAAAGAAAGAAAAAGAAAGAAAGAAAGAAAGAAAGAAAGAAAGAAAGAAAGAAAGAAAGATAGTCCCGCAAACTGTGATGGCTCGGTTGTTGAGAACAGAGTAAATAGGAACACGAGAGAGGTTTTCCTCTGTGTGTGTGTGTGTGTGTGTGAGTTTCCATGGAGGTTGCAAACTAATTTTTAATTTCTGGGAAGTTGAGGTTAGGTCAAGAATAAGCCAGCAAACTCCACACACACTTTCTTCCCTGTTGTTCAACCGTTTGCTTTTCCCTTTTACTGATGAGGCCTCGAGCAAATAGCGAAGTTGGGAAGATGGAAAGTTATTTACTCCTCCAATTTAACGAGGATACTTTGGGCCTTGTAAATACCGAGTTCTTTGCTCGCCGTTTTGTTTTGTTTTATTTTAGAGGCAAGCACCCACAAGGGCTAAAATCCACAGCCTTGCCGGCACGTTAAACAGAATTTAAATGAGAAAAAAAAGAAAGGGTGTGCCAGGGACCGTTTGCAGGATCTCTCTGGTGTTCCGCAGCTAAGATGGAGTTTGGAGTTGAGGGCGGGTTGGGGAAGATTATAGACAGGTCCTTCAGGATTTTGGGAAGCCAACCATGGGAATAAAAGTTGGGAAAGGGGGCATCACTCAGGCCGGTCTAAACGGGCTGAAAGATTGGAGGGAAAAACATTCCATCTATAGTCTTCTTCTGGACCAGATGCCCTGATGCCTCCTGGTGGAGATCCCACCATCCAGACTGACCACTGATGGTGGGTCTGGGGCTTCAGTCTTTGGGTTCTGCTCCATTGACCAGGTCCGAGAGGCCCAGACTGACCACTGATGGTGGGTCTGGAGTTTCCCTTTGGGTTCTGTTCCATTGACCAGGTCTGAGAGACCCAGACTGACCACTGATGGTAGGTCTGGGGCTTCAGTCTTTGGGTTCTGCCCCATTGACCAGGTCTAAGAGGCCCAGACTGACCACTGATGGTGGATATGGAGTTTCCCTTTGGGTTCTGCCCCATTGACCAGGTCCGAGAGGCCCAGACTGACCACTGATGGTGGGTCTGGGGCTTCAGTGTTTGGGTTCTGCCCCATTGACCAGATCTAAGAGACCCAGACTGACCACTGATGGTGGATATGGAGTTTCCCTTTGG